CTTATGTTTCTCAGTAAGTTTTTCTTAAAATATGCATACAAAGTCATTTATTTTTTCTTTGTACTCAAAATGAACTAATTGTAGGCTTTCTGAAAGTCCAATTTGATGGCACACTTGGGGCACGAGGTGGATGGATCAAGTAGTCATACTAGACTTCAGGATGGAATCAAGAATGGACGCAGACTTTTGAGTTAGGGGGACACAATCAGACCTTATATAAATCAAATATTTTATTCTTGATTTTGGAATAATTCATACTCGACTCGAGAAAATGCAGAATTAAGTTTAAAAACACATTCCTTCATTAATATTTTGTTTATCATTTTCATCCATTTAATTTTGAACAGTCTTTTATTAATATTTTCCTCATCACAAGAAAATTTTTATTTACATTTAAAGAATTTATAATGTATTTGATAAAACAATCAATTCAAGTAATAAAAAGAAAAAACATATAACCAATATTCACTACTAATATTCAATCAAATAAACACAATTTGTTAAATATAAGTCAAATTGGGTATAATCAAATAAGACTCATTCTATATATACAATTTGATAGGAGAAAATGCAAAATTAGGTTCAAAATATGATTAGGAAATAAAGTAAATGTTATAATTTGTAGAGAAACTATAGACAAATTTTCAAAATTAGAAGAGTAAAGGTTTGATAAAATGCTTGAGTGAGAAAGTCATGAGAGTGTAAGAAGAATGGAAAAGTTCAATTCTACAGAGATTTTGTCTATGTTTGATGGAATTAAAATCAAATTTCTAGTAAATTTTTGATAAAAATTGCAAAGTTATGAATCCCATAAAATATATTATGAAAATTAATCGTTAATTTTGATTTATATTAAAATTTAGATTTTATTTAATATCAATCAGGGCTTTATTGGGAGAAGGGAAAAAAAATTGGGCGGGGGAGTCCCCCCTGGATGGAAAGGCAAAAAAAGTGAGTAATTAGGACTTATGTGGAAACTGAGTCCCGTTTGTTTCCTATTATTTGTCCATTAAAATGAAAAATATGACAGTTATCTATCACATCAAATCACCATATTTGACTTTTTATCTCTTATGTGGGGCTCGTAACGACTATATTTTTCATTCTTATTTTTATATTGATGTGTGCCAAACAGGGCCTGAATCTATGAGCGTTGGAGGCATTTATCTTCACATTTAGGTCAATTGCTTGAAAGAAGAAACAATTAGAAAAACTCAATATTGGGAGTCGCATATAACAACCATTAAATAACCTCTTGGTCAATGGGTGATTCCATCACCGTAATTTGCATAATTGAAAAGATAGTACTCAACTTTCATCACATTCTTATGGTGTAAACTAGAAATAACTTTATGTAATATTTGTATGCCTTCATCTTACCCAACTTTGATTCAAAAGCAATATTTAATGCCAAAAAATAATTTAAAATGATTATTGTCTTCTTTCAGATCAATGTTTCAGGTATCATTAGTAAAATTGTAGCATTCAATATATATATTTAGTTTTAGATTTGTTCTCACTGTGCTTTATATTCTCTTCTCTAAACAATTTAACCAAAAACAAGTGTTAATGTGTACTCTTAACTCCATAACTTTAAATGTCTTTTCCTGATTTGAATGTGTTCTTACATTAGATCTTGAATTCCAAAAATTCTCTTTAATTCTTCATACTTCCAACTTCCATAGCGTCCTCTAAAAATTTGAATATTAGAGTAGCTTTTCAAATGATGTACATTGTGGACATCACAAGGACCGAATCAATGTTCTCTCTACCGTTTTCTACACTTTCTGGTATCCAAAATACCAACTTTTATGTATTCATTTTCTTCTTAAGAATTTTATGTACTTTATTATACTACAGATATTAAGTAGAAACTTCGAGTATAGACTTCAAACTCTTCATGTTCCAGTTGTCTTCATGGGTGCACAAGGCACACAACACTAAAGTTGTTATTGAATCCTAAATGTGTCCCAAACCCCATTTCTCTCCTCCGCCATCTCTAAGCGCAATGTTGCCACCCAAACCCGGTACCAACACCATCCATCACCCAAATCTGCATAATGTAGATGCAAAAATCACCCAAATGTCTAAAACTCACTCTCGGATGATCATGTACTCTTGTCCCCCCCCCCCCCCCCCCCCCCCCCGCGTTTTCCCCCCCCCCCCCCCCGACTTGGTGTTATGGTGGTAGCATGGCGTACATATCTTAAAGTGGAGGCGTACAAATATCTTAATCTACCCTCTTTTTTCTGAGTTTTATTTCCCCATACATGGAGCTATGGTGGTGATTTATGGTAAATAGAATGGTGGTGGTGGTGGTGGTGTCGGGTATCAAAATAGAATTAAATCGAACATGTTCGGTTTGAAACGGTTTGGTTTTCAGTTTGGAATTCAACCCAACCTGAAAAGTCTTTTCGATGGTTGGGTTATGTCCCAATTCGTCTCGTGACAACCTTTAAGTGGGAGTGTACGAGAGAATCCTTGACCTTAGCACTGAAAACAATAACTCATAACTAGAGGTGAATATGGTTCCATTTAGTTTTGGTTCTAAGAGAATTGAACTGAACCATAAACCAATGATTTATTTATTTATTTATTATGGAATCAAATGGTTTTTTTAAGATATGAAACCGAACCGAACCAAACCGAATCATCTAGTTCTAGTTTAGTTTGGTTTGGTTCTATTTTTATTTA